ATGTAAGGGTTTAGGATACAATCATAAACCCATGTAAGGGTTTAGGAAACACACATAAACCATAGGAAGGGTTTAGAAAAAGTTCATAAACCCTTGCAAGAAGTTTCGAGACAGTGAACCAAAATGGTTCACAATCAGGACAGCTTATGAGGCGTCCTGCTTCAGCGTGTGCCAGTTCCTGCTTCCAGGCAAACAATTGACTTGGAGTTGTGTCTGTATCAAGACTTAGAAACTGTACATGTTTTCTAAAACGAGGAGTCTATTCAAAGTGACTTCGACGAACCAGAACGGAAAAGTTAAGAGAGCCAAGTATAGCATGAATGACGCTATACCTGACGATTTCAGCTTTTTCGTTCTGCTTCAACGAATCCACTTTGAATACACTCTTCGTTTTGTAGGACAAGTGCAGTTTCTAAGTCTTGACACAGACACAATTCCAAGTCATTTGCTCGTCTGTAAGCGGAAACTGATAGACACTGAAGCATTTCGCCTCGAAATCAGTCTTTCTCGATCTTTTTTTATTGGATTCTGCGGCTAACCTAAACATAAAAAGAAAACAATTTAAATCAATAAATCTTACTGTTTATTTTCCACTACGCGTGCCACAGAATTGGACCTGAATCAAGATAAAATTAGATACCAAATTTTGAATTCGTTGATCAGTAGGATAACACTAAAACAGAAGTTAAATAAACTCACAAAACTCAGATTTTTTTCTAGTATGAAACTGGAATTAACATACAAAAATAGTGTCTTCTTCTGACTACAGCTTTTCAACATGATTTATATTTTAAAAAATTCAAATAGATAATACTTACATTTTTACGTGCAGAAATAGAATATGATACGTCGTACACATGAATCAATAACCTTTTATTTTAATTGAGCCTTTTGTGCATGGTCTAAATTAAAAGAAATACATAAATATGTATTACTCACCTCTTTTTGTAACTGCACATTGAACAGAATACGGAAAAAACATCAACAAATAATGTTGCTTCTTCGACCGAGTTCTTTGTACATGATCTAAATAGAAAAATATTCTAAATAAATAATACTCACGGGTTCTGTACTTACATACTAAGTTTAATACGTTAAATACATCAAGATAAAACATTAAAACTTCATTGATTTGTTCCTACACGACCAAAATAGAAGAAAAATTTCAAGAAATAATACTGACACATTTTCCATCTGTAAATTGAACATAATAAGTCAAAAACATTGTATCAGAAATCTTTAATTTTGATTTGATCCATTGTACAAAATCTAAATAAAAAAAATATAGCAATATATAATACAGCTTTTGTACCTGCATATTGAACATAAAATGGAAAACACATTAACCAATAATGTTTCTTCTTGACTCGACTTCTTCGTACACATTCTAAATTTCAAAAAAATGTGTAAATATATAAAACTCAAATTTTTCCTATCTGAACTTTCAACATAACAAGGAAAAAAGTCCGCCAAAAATGTTTCTTTTTTGGCTCGGCTTTATACACGGTCTAAATTGAAAAATATAAACATATAATACTCACACATTTTTGTACATGCATATTGAGCATAATAAGTCAGAGTCGTCGACCGATAATTTTTCTTCTTCACTTGACTTTGTACGCGATCTAAATAAAAAAAATATTGAAAATATAATACTCAACCTTCTTTGTAACTGTAAATTCATGAGAATGTGAAAGATCGATCAATCATATTTTATTTTGATTGGCTTATGTTAAACACCAACTAAATAAAAAAAATATTTAAATATGTTCATGCTAATACTTTTCTCTACCTGCATATTGAAGATAATAGGGGAAAAACATGAAGATAAAATTTTTAATTTTGATAGATATCTTGGTATATGATCTAAATTAAAAAAATAATTAAATATATAATACTCACGCTTCTTTATACCTGCATATTCAATCGAATGCATCAAAAAAACATTAAATAATAATGTTTTATATGAATCGAACTATTTTGAACACCATATAAATAAAAAAGATTCAAATATGTAAAAATGCTTTTTTTAACCTGCACATTGAACATTATACGAGAAAAATTCTCAGACAAAAATATTTGATTTCAATTTGTTTCTTGGCACGCAATCTAAATAAAAATTATTTAAGTATGTAATACTCAGAGTTTGTCGTACCTGCATATTGAATATAATAGGAATAAAGCAGAGAGAAAACATATAGCGTTTTTAGTGACTTTCTCACACATGACCTAAATGAGAAGACATTCAAACATGTATACTCACGGTTTTGGTACCTTCACATTGAATATATTGCTGATCGAACATCTTCAAATACTTCTTTCGATTGCCTTGTTTGATACAAAATCTTAATTAAAAAAGTGAGATAAACAGCATTAAAGTTTTTCGTTCGAAAAACTCGAACTTAGCCTGAAAAAATCACAGAGAAAATGTTGAATTGTCATTGGGTATTTTTCAGCACCATCTAGAAGAAAGAAGATATTAAACAAATAAAAAGCACAGCACAGTTTACATACCTGTACATTTGACTTCATACTAAAGAAATATGAGGAAATAATTTTAAGTGTTTCCTCGACTTACTGTATATGATTTAAATTAAAAAAAATACTAAAACAAACTGTACTCACAGTTCGTGCACCTGCATATTGAATATCATACGAAAAACAACGAGAAAAAATATTTAAAATTGACAGGTTTCTTCCGACACGATCTATACAAAAAATATATAAATAAATGATACTGATAGCGTTTCTATCCGCATAATCAGCATAGTGCAGGAAAGCACAGAGAAAAAAAATTTTAATTTCGTTTGTTTTCTTCATATCTAATCTAAATAAAAAAAATACTCCATGAAATAATACCAACAGTTTTCCTACCTGTATGTTGAGCACAATACGTAAAAAATATCGATTAATAATGTTTCTTTTAATTGGTTTTGTTTTTACACGACCTAAAGAAAAAGAAATGTTTACATACGTAATACTCAAATTTAGATCTGTATATTTAATGTCATACAGCAAAAACGCGGAAAAAAAATACTTAATTTTCATTGATTTTCTTAGACATGAACTTAAAAAAATTGAAGTGAATAATATTAATATTTTATGTTTGGAAAAATCGAACTTAACACCGAATCAAATTCAATAAAATATACTGAATCTTCGCTGAGTATTTTTCTGGACACGCTAAAAGAAAGATATATAAACAAAAAAAGCATATTTTTTGTACCTGCATATTGGAGTCAATACAGAAGAAATGTTATGGAATAATGTTTAATTGCCACCGAAACTTTTGTACACGTTTTAAAGGAAAAAAATATTTAAATAAAGAACGCTCACGGTCTCGGTACCTGCATATTGAAATTAATTAATACCTGTGCATAGTGGCTAATTTGAAATTGTTTTTTTTTATAATTTAGAAGAAAAAAAATACACGATCAAGAATAGAGTTTCATATTTCATCAATGTTTATTTATTTTTTCATATCTTAGAAAGACATCATATATATACAATATATCATTCATTATGCTCATCTCAATTACGTTCAAGTTTCCTTATAAAAAAAAGTACTATTAAAAATGCTAAATAATACAAAACGATATTAACTGTCATTTACAATGTGTATAGATTAGTAACGATATTTTCTTTTTGTCTTATGGCGAGTTCCAACATGTAAATTCGCATCAGCTAAATTAACACAATCTTGTGAATCATCATCAGTATCATATGTTGATGCTTTTTTCTTTACGAATTGCTTTGAAAAATGTTCACCTTGTTTTTCACAATCAACATCGTTGGGCCTATGCACAAAAGAATGGTAAACTTTTTTCAAATTCATGTTCAAATAGAATACTTAGTCTGCAGATGCAATAGTAGTATTCATTTTTAAATTATTATTATTGTGTAATTGATAAAGATCTTCAAGTGGAGTAGATGATAAATTAGAACTAGCTTGTGATAAAGATTGAGTATCATTACTAACGGCTGAGTGACTATTTGAAACCGAACATGTACTTTCATAGATTTTTCGATTTTGTTCAGTATAGATTTCAATATTCTTTTCCTTGATTAGAGTACGCATTTTATTCGACAGGTATCTAGTATCACCCAACATGATTGAATACAAAAATCGTATTGCTCGACCATTTTTAGGAAAATTCAGTTCGAACACGACATACATTGCTAATAGAAGTGCTAAAGCACCATCAGGTGATGTTGCTGAAACGATTGAAAGAAAATCTGTATATACAGTGATTGTATTATCAGCAAACACCATTGGATATGGGCTTGATGGTGACTAGAAAAAAAATGTTCATGATTAGCAAACCAAAAAAAATGTTTGCTTGCTATACAGCTACAATATATTGATTATTTGTGTCAACTCGTGTGAAAATATACTGAGATTATCACATCATTCTACATAATTATTAAAAGCTTTTTTCCCTGTAAGATTCAAACAATAAAAATTTTTTTAATATTGGCATATCACAAAAATGCGAGCTATTGTTTGAAAATATATGTCTAAAGTATTTTTTCCTGAAAAAGATGCAGAACTATTCATAAATAAATGTGGAAACCTCGGATTTAAATCCGAGAGTTATGTGTACTTCAAAAAGTGAATGAGACAAATCGGTCATCCTAGAATATGCAGATATAAAAATTAGCCTGGCAAATCCTTTCTATAAACACTTGAATTCTATTGGCTACTGCTCAACCAATAGGATTTTGGAGTGAATACAGCTCAGATTTGGACTCTTCGCCTTGAGTTATCCTAAAAAACGCGTTTTTTCCTATAATTTGATTTCTATTGGTCAGTGGTCAACCAATGGAGCTTCAAGTCAAGTGGATTACAGATTCAAGTTCTCCATCCCAGAAAACTTCGAAGTATTATCTCGGTGATCGGAAGATAGAGCTCGAATTGGGGATCGATTAGAGCGCAGACCAAACATAGAACCGATTTCCGTTTATTTATCTTTCCAATAGGTGAGCTAGCTTTCTTCTTTCTTTATGTTTTATATACCATTTTGTAGCTCGTGAAATTCTCTATCGAATGGTGTATAATAGTTGAGGTTATCTTTGACTATAATAGGGAAAGTGTTTTACGAAAGTGGGGATAGGTAGATTTTCCTATAGGAAGCCATAGGGAAAAATGAGTATCTTTACAATAACTCAGGAAGGGCTCGGCCAATCCTTTTCATCTTCGAACTCGACCGAGATACTGTTAAGACTGAACTGTGTAGAAAATTTCATCGCGATCTGATTCTCCTTTCAAAAGTTATCGTGTAAACGGACGGACGGCCGGACACACTGACCGATTCTTGAGTGTACTCACTTTTTGAGTACACAAAAATTGCATTTCATTAATGCAATACGAACATTTCATCTATCTGTCTTTAAAACATGAAAAAGATACTTCTTCAAAAGCTACAGCAAAGCACTCATTATATTTCAATACAGATAGTGAACTGATTCATCGAATTAACGACAAAGCACACGAATAAGTTGTATTGGTGGAGAATCTAGAAAGACACACGATTACTCGAAAGATTTGTATTCATTTTATAACCTGTAATAAAAATAGGTATTGCAATAATCTTTTCAAGTAAAATCGGTATTTAATGATGTATGACAGCTCGTAAATCAGCTCCCATTATCATCTTTACTTCTTCAAAAATCTATTGAAGAAATAAACTTATCATATGTAAGAAAAGAAGTTACAAATAAACTCACCAACACTGGATCTTTATATCCAGGAAATTCTTCAAGAATTTCTGATGTTGTTTGATTACGAATAGCTCTACGTCTAACATGAAGAGTTTCTTTCCATAATTGAAGTCGAATATTAAGATCAAGTTGAGGATCATCACGTAACTTTTTGGCTTTATTTTGAATAACAGTTAATGTATCATCATCGTAAGTTACTAATATTATCTGAAAAAAAAAATCAATCAAAAATCAAAATATATTTGATAGAGATTTACTTGTTTTTGTCGATCTCGTTCAGCAACTTCACCAATCATTTTTTTGACTGGACGTCCAGATCCAAATCTTGAATATTTCGACTGATAAGCTTTTACTTCTTCATTTTCTCGATGTTCAAAACGTTTTCTTTTGAGTTTATTTTGAATAGCATCTTTCCAAGTTCCCTAGGTAAAAAAAACAACAAAAATCTCAGTTAGTAAATATATGGTGGATTGAAACAATAAATAATTGAGAAATGCTTATGTCTCTTTGTAGTAGATTTGGTTTCTCAATGCTTAACCATACACATGGTAATCTAATTTTCAAAGTGATACAACTTGAAAGTGTATAATTCACTCTCTTCTCTACAGTTTCAAGTTATTCAAAGTTTGAATGTTGACATCTTTTAATTCTAAGGTTGAAAGATATCAATCCGCACAGTTCCATTATGCGTACGCTTGTAGTTTATGGCATCTCTATAAAGCAAGCTAAAAACATTCTTCAGCTATGTAAATAATTGTTTTCAGCTTTTGATTTCTTTTGACACATTATCGAAAAATATGTCCAAATTGTTACAGAAATTATGTAAAGAAAAAAAATCAATTGAGACGATAATATTTTAATTCAGTATAAAACAATCGAAGTTTGATTTATTTCATCTAGCAAATCTTTACTTTAAACATGAAATAAATTCGACTGACTAGATCATTTCAAGCCTAGAATCAATTATGCTTCAAATTATAACAGGAAATAGTAATTTTATTGAGTGTTAGAATTAAATCGTTTCCAGAAAGCATGTCACAGCATATCTCGTTCTTTTCATGACAAAATGCCATTGCATCATTCTGATTTCTTTATCCAATGTTGTACTTTCCTTTTCGGTTTAATTAAAACATTACTGTTTTTGTGTATTAGTTATATCGGATACTAATGCTTGCTCTCTTAATGGATGAAGAGAAAACGTAAGAGATAAAAACAATATGTGAACCAAATAAATTGCGCAGATTTATACTCATAAATTTTCTGTCGCATTATTCATTTGAGTTAAATAATAAAAGTCGACTTACAACATTGTCTTTTGTTAATGGCAACTTTAATTTACGAACAATAGCTATACCTATGCCATCAAATTGTTTACGAGTCGGATAACTAAATTAAAAAAATCAATAAAGAATTAAATTCAACGAGTACGACATTAAACTGTTTATTTATCTCATTCCTTGGTTGATAAAGATATTGTAGCATTAGCATTGTCTGTTCCGTTTGAGACAAGAACAAAACTACTACGGTAACCAGAAATCTTGCATTTCATTAAAATCTTGGCAAATTCAATATAAGCTTGTATAGGCAAAAGCGCTCAACCGTTTCGGGTAATCTAAAATATTTTTCAGTTCATTTTACTGATATAAAATAATTTTCTCATGTAATGTGCGCGGGAATAGATAACTTTCGTCACAATACCGATTTGCCTACTCGAAAAATTACTAGAATTTATTGAACACATGTCATTTAGAATTCAATTACTTATTAAACCTTTTTTGAATGAATCTACGTAAAATGTATGAAAGACCGAGCAACTCAAAAAATAGTACTAAAAATAGAAATTGCTTCTATAAGTATTTCAAATTTATATTTGCCACAAAAAACATTTTATGAAAGAAATATGTCTGATGCAAGGAGCATAAATTATGTCTTTATTTGAAATCACCCCAGGCCGTTCTTAATTAAGTATAACTTACAGGAAATGGAAATTGTTTATTAAATCATGAGCTATTGTATCAATAAGTACTTGACGATTAGTATAATGTGATGCAAACTTATGAATTGTACCCGCTTCTATATCTTCAAGCAAGGCATTTGGCAATCTTGGAATAAAATATTGTTCAGGAAAAGTTAAATTAATTTCTGGTTTTGTTGATGATTTCTCTAATATTTGATCATTCATACTATTATGTATTAAAAAATTGATTTGTGATTCGAAATAAGAAGAAGAAACTCCAGGATTTAATGTAGAACTTGATGATGAATCAGAAATGGTGACTGAACTATCGTCGTTGATTTTAAACAATTTTTCTCGCTCTCTTAAAAATAAAAGCTTTTGCTTTAATTTTGGGAATAATGTTAATTTTTCGATGCTGTCCATCATAAAAAGAGTTTCGCCATCAGTTTCATGTTCTAAAAAAGATACGTAATAGATATATAGTTGTGATGATTAAAAATTTAAAAATCTTAAGACTTAGCTTTTTTAAGGAAGCTCCACACTTAGTGCTTTATAAAATTAGAAAAAGACATCGTGTTTTTTCTTTCAATATTAAAAATAATTAAAAAGTTATGAATTTAAACAAAAACATAACTTTTAAATGTTTTAAACACATTATGTTTCAAATCTTAAGCCTAAAGTAAATTTGTCTATTCTGTTGATGATTCAGATAGATGAGAGGGTATCTTATTTTAGTAAAGTAGGAAAATTTATTATTGTCTCTAATCTGAAGAATCTATTACATGTGGTTGTTCTAAATTTTCGTATTTGAATATAATACGATGATTTTCAGTTGTATACTATGTCTACAATCTATTGATATAAAAAAAAGTACAGAAAGATTTAGTGACGATCATATGCAATTAATTTTTAGTCTGATCAATAAAAAATGTATATATATTTCAATCAGATAAGAACTTGTGGAATACTATGTATCTCTTGTGGACGTATCAACACAAAGTGAGACGTGCAGTAAATGAAGCAAAACTTGAGTTATCTGATTCGTAAATGTCAAGTCCTTTATAAAAACATTTTAGACAATGTATATCAAGATGGAAAAATTATTCTTTGATTTTATCTCCCAAGCTAATAAATTCTCATTGTGGCAAATAGTTTCCAATATGTCCACTAACAACAACTATTTGTAATTCATTTTGAGAATACAAACCACTTGAGCAAATCTTGATGTTTCATAAACATTCATTAAATCTATTACATAAACCCTTGACCGTAGAATAATAAACCGTTTTCATGAAAAGGTAGAACAATATACCATTGATCGTAGAATAATAAACCCTTTCCATAAAAAAGTAGAACAATAAACCCTTGGCCATAGAATAATAGATCCTTTTCAGAAAAAGGTAGCACAATAAACCCTTGACTGTAGAATAATAAACTCTTTTCATGAAAAGATAGAACAATATACCATTGATCGTAGAATAATAAACCCTTTCCATAAAAAGGTAAAACAATGAACCCTTGACCGTAGAATAATAAACCCTTTTCAGAAAAGGTAGGACAATAAACCCTTGACCGTAGAATAATAAACCCTTTTCATGAAAAGGTAGAACAATAAATCCTTGACCGTAGAGTAATAAACCCTTTTCAGAAAAGGTAGGACAATAAACCCTTTTTCGCTAGTCATAAACCCTTTTTATTTTTAAATACCCTTTTTCTCAGAAATCCTTTTGCACAAAAACCCTTTAAGGGTTTAACACACCAGCATAAACCCTTTAAGGGTTTAGGAAAACTTTCCTAAAGTACTAGGGTTTATTATTCTACGAATTTTTTTTACAGTGTGTGGGGTGAGGGTGTTGGTGTGGGTATGAGTATGGGTGTGGGTGTGAGTATGGATGTGGATTCATCTTATCTTAATTCACACCCAAATCCACACCCACACCCACACCCAGACACCCACACCCACACCCACACCCACACCCACACCCACACACCCACACCCACACCCACACCCACACCCACACCCACACCCACACCCACACCCACACCCACACACCCACATCCACACCCCAAATTTAATGATGTTTCAGTGAAACTAGTGTATGCTATTGTTCGTATCAGCTTAGATTCATTCTATCGTACTTTTACGGAACGTTTTCTATCAATATAAATATTTTATTTATGCAAATGTGAGCATTTCTATTTGCATAGACAACATTTTACCGAGTTTCATCTGATTTTTATCAGCATATCATTGTC